CATAGTTAGTTCTTCATATCATTACAATTCTAGGCACTGCATATATAATGTGTAAAATGATGCAAGAAAGAGAAACGTAAATAATGTTCAAGGTACCAAGGCTTTGCAGTATTTAGTATGCGTGTCATGCAAATTCCAAAACCAATTCCGACGACCCCTTGATTATAGGTTCCTCATAGCCGAGATTGTAGGTTCCTCTTGACTACGCCCCTGCCTTGCCTGCAGCTCAATACTGAATACGGAGCATAATAATTATTTCCTTGAAAACTGAAATTACTCACGCTCAGGCCACGACTAAACGGTCGTCGTCGAACGTTGAAATGAAAACCATTACATCGCCAATTATTTTATCGCATAGTAAAATAAAACTTGCGTAGACTATGCAGATTCAGCTGCCATGTTAGACAAGAAATACTTGGAACATAATACGCCCAGCAATGCAGAATAGATCGATGATACCATTTTTCCGAACATTATTCAAAGACATATCTTTAATCTCATGTTTTGTAATCAGAAGCTTGTGACAATTACAGTGAAAGTGATCTCACCAAATCCAATGTCTGGCGAATGACGAACAATATGAGCTATGGCAAATAATAATGAATGAACCATGAATTTATTCTGTGATATCAACCTTGACTTGAACGCGATGCATAATTAATGACTTCTTCGCATGTTGTCACCACTAAACCATTAATCCTGAGGCCGGCGAAGTTAACCTGCCAGGCTGCATGGAAAAGTTTGGTAGAGATCCTGGGGCCTTACTTTCAAAACTCGCTAAGTGAACGTAAGTATTTACGCTCTATTTTCTTGTCTATGATTGGTGGATTTTGCTTGAAAGGCCGTCAATGATTGGCTGATGAACTTACGATCTCTTAACTGTTTTTAAAAGAGTGGCTTGAAAGGCCGTCAATGATTGGCTGATGAACTTACGATCTCTTAACTTTTTTTGAAAGTATGGGCCCTGGACATTTATATTTCAATGCTAAATTCTTCTATGATATTTCTTCAAGCCTTCAGCGGGGAAATATCCATTAATTATTGGACATGACATAAGACGTATAATTATTATTATTCGTATCATTAATTATAATTATTAATTATTCGTATCCTGACTTTTTAACCGAGCTTATGTGCCAATAAATTTCAGAAAAAATCAATTCCCTTCTCTGAACTTTCAACCATGATTAAAGAAGATCAAGTCTTGAAGAACGAGACAGTTCTATTTAATAATTCATTATAAGAATTCGTAAGCTCATTTACAATTTTCAGTGAAATGAGCGGTAATTTCAATTACTTCCAAATCAAGTCGAATAATGACTTTATTAATCGACTTTTCATTATTTGACTTTTATTTTTATTATTATGACTTTTTGTCATATATGAAAAAAAGTCGTAAATGACAGCAAAATGAGTTTTGCTGGAAATTTGTTTGATGAACTTTTTTGTTAGAGAACTTCTCCAAATTCTATTAATTAAAGATTACATTCTTGTATGTTCCGAAATTTAAGTTGTAAAATAGGATGACTTAGACATATGAAAGAAGTAAAATAGTAAAGTGCAACACATTTCACTGACGCAATTTCATTACACGAGTATGTTGAATCTTTTCATGTTAAATTCACAATTTGTAAGTCACGCATGACACGAACTTCGTGTCATGCTGAATATTTATGTAGAAAAAGTAATGTTTTGAGGCAATGATCTAAAACAATCGCCTAATAATCATATGATGTATATCATATATATGTATCGTAATACAAATATAATAATTTCTCAGTTAACCAGAAAAGTTAATAATAACTCAATATAAACCTTCGTGAATTTAATTCTTCGACTCAACTAAATGCTCAAGTATCATTTTCCTTGAATTCATCTGTGCTCTTACGTATAATTTTTGAACATTCTACTGGAATACAAGCGTCTCTAACCTCTGATTTTATGGCGTCTGTGCCCTTTTATTGGTCAATAAATCAGCGCTCTCATTAAGTCCAAGAAAAATGGCGCAAAATTAAGAGCACGTGCGCCAATTTCGTGACATTATATTGAGGTCTTAATGAGAGTCGCGGGTAAAAATAATCTCATGGTTTATGGACATTTCTGGGTGCTTTAATTGTGCTTCTACAACTGAAATTCATTTGTGCAGGTTTTTTATGATGAAATATACGATGTGGCGAACATACATTCTTTAAAACTTGGTTGTGTATATGAGACTCAGAATTCAAATGACAGGTTGAAGCTTTGTAGTTTTTAATTTAAATGTTAGACTGCCGAATCATTGAATGCACACACAGATTGTTGTAATTATAATTATTATAATTACAAATGTAATTAATTTATTCAATTATTAAAATAATTATAATATATATTAATATAAAATAATAATCCAATTAATTTCAATTATACTATAATTATTGCCCTATCTTGAAGAAAAAGTCATAGTTGCAACAATTTATTTTAAATGCAGTGTTACTTGTGACCTAAATTATTTAACCATAATCCATCTACGAGTAATTATCAATCATGCACTTCACAGTTGGTAAAATTAGCAGTAATGGGAGTAGGAATAATTCAAATTTATTTTACTAGTAAATATTATCCTGAAATGCTTTTAATACCACAATTGTATCCCTTGAATGCAGAATGTTATTAGCATCATAATTGGGAAAGTTATGTTTATAATAGTTTAATGCCGCTGTTGTATCATTTATTATTTTAATTAGTATAAAAATAAATAAAAAATTTGCTTGATCCTATAAGCTTCTACTTAATAAAAAAATGAAGCCGCTTGTGCAGAAATTTGTCGTCTAATTAAGACAGGGAATTAAAGGTATGATGAGGAGTGAACTTCATGAAATCTCAAAGATGGGAGCTTCGAGCGAACAAACTTCTGAAATGAGCGTCAAAAGTTGATGAGATAAAGTGGAACTGAAGCGGCATGCTTGCATTCCTTAATGGTTGCGAATAACACGCGGGTTTGTCCCTACCGTAGCAAAATTAAATTGATTATTGTCTCACATTATAAAGGCTTTACTAAAAAAATGTAGTTACCTGGCAAAAAACTGCTTTTTAGACTCTTACGATAATCTAAACTGGTCTTGATAAATGAACGCGAAATCTACGAAAATAAAATTTCGCGAAAGATAATTCATACTTAAAATATGATTATAGAAAAAAAGAAGAGATATTTGACTCTTATTACAAATATATTTATAACGAAATCGTTTCTACTAAATTGAGTCAAAATGTCCATTTTTTACTCTACGGATGTCATGTATAAGTAATATATTCATTACACGTCAAAAATTTGTACGGAAAAACTTCAGGAAGAGTTGAAAAATGAACCATTACACGAAGAATTATGCCAGTACATAAAGCATGTCCATAATTAATAGATGTATTGTAAGACATTTTCTTTAATAAAAGACTCTAAATTGCAGACCAAGGTGCTACTGAAATCACATAATTTGTTTCCAACAATTTTAATTGGTTTAATACCAAGTAATTGTTATGTTTTAATCGCCTAAATAATCAGTTGTTGGTAAGTTCAATACTATACAAAAGAACGTATTGTTAATTTATTCATCTATCTTAATTGTCTGAGACCACAAAATATTGTTGATCGGACTAATATCATGAACATAAAACCAACGTTTATAAAAAATGCGGGACACGAAATATTCCATGCAGACGTGGGAGTCTCGCAGTGAGGCGGCAGCCTTGGTTGCGTGAGGTGATGTGGTGCCGTCGCTCCTGAGACACCGACGGCAACAGGAGGTCACTCTTTGAACATTCCGATCACGTCGTCCTAAGGGAGATAAATAATAGACGTGACATTTATACGGCCTTACATCTCATATCCGAGGCTTCTTACGTAGTCTGTGGATGCTGGAATAAAAAATATTTATATTTTCATGAATAGAATAAATCTTCGGACTGACTTCCAAACATTTCATTTACTATACCAAATTTTCTCTTATGCCTTTGGCTCGTTATCTAGGATTACTGGAGAAAGTCACGCAAGGCCAGGCCTAATAAAGGCGGGGCTTTGGGTTTATTTCGGACGTGACTTTGAGGACTTCCTTGGAGTTAGGGACTTGTTGGGACTGCCAAGCATTGCGGGCATTTTGGGAGAGTTTGCGAGGCTGGGGATAGAATAGTTCTGAACCGCAGCTGTTTGCTCAGGGTTCTTACGGCTGCTGCAATGACACAATGAACTCAAGCAAGCTCAGGAAGCGGTTTATCGATAATGAAAAATGATTTAGAAAAAAATCCAATAGAGAACATTTTGAATATGCTAAATTTCTTTTATAACGAATACAAATTTGTTCGTTATTTTGCAATGTTGATGATTTATTATCATTCTTGGTATTTATTTTAGAGTTTGAGGATAAAGTTTTGTAATTTTTTCTATAGAAGTACTGTATTATATTTATAACCGTCTTTAGCATAAATTTTTATAAATTTTGTCTTTAGCATAAATTTTGCTGATTTTCGATATAAAAATTAAGCGACTTTCAAATTTGTTCCTACTAATTAATGAAGAATTCATTACACATTTTCAAGCTGGTGAATGTGCGAAAATAAAAAAGCATACACATGTTCTCGGTGCTTCTGGGACTCATCGCTGACTTCTATTTTATTACAAAATGAAATAAATTATATAGATCAAGAAACGATAGTGTCAAAATAGAATTATTGTCATATTAGGTCATTGTAAAACACACGTTATAATCAAATTGTATTAAAATATCAGGACAAGAATGGGATTAACTGTATAATAATATGAGAGTTTTAAATATAAAAAGCAGATAGATCTGTTCCTAAAACCTCATGATTAGTAAGCTGCGAGCCGATTCGGAAGTGGAACATTTAAATGTTAATAGTTGTAAAAGTTCCATTGAAAAACATTTGGTGAGGAATAGCATAAACTCTGTTGAAAAGTTAGTCATGGATATTACTACTATTGACTATAAAATATGTAGAAATAAAAACAAGTGTTATTAGGCGATTCGAAACTATTTCTATTGAATGTTTGTGAAGGTGATACAGGCAACGAACAAAAAACAGCACTTGTACAGTTCTTTGATTTTTTTTATTACCGTGTAATGTAATGTAATTATCTGGCTTGCCCTTCATTGCCGTGAAGCGTAATTTTCTGTCTTGACTTCTATAAACGAGAAGTGAAATCAAAATGTCGCGGAGGAATGCAACAATGGCGAAGCTCTACTGCCTGGATATCATTTGCCTGCTGCTGCACGTCGGCTCAAACATTCCAGGTTTGTTCATTTGTTGATAGTGTAGAGGATGAGGTTTTGGAATATGTTATTTGGTACACTGTCCAGCCAATGCATGACATCGATAGCGTCATCATTTGACTTAAAAACTTTGTTCCGCATTAAACATTAAGTGGACGTAGCCGAATATTTTGGTACGCGAGAAATCCGAGCCTCACATATACTATTAGAGCGCACTTTTTTCTTGTTGAGCTTCACTTGTTAGTAGTTAATGAATTTTGTGGTCATTCATAGCCTGTTGATTGATTACAGTTTTACATCCTAGCAACGTACTTGTATTTTAATGATGATATTAAATTAAATGGTTTCTGCGTGAACTTGTGAAGGGCCCGTGCTACGAAACTCGTGTAGCAACTTCAAACCTATTTATTTCGCTATGCTCCATATCAATTAATTAAAGAAGTCGATTAAATCATAGTTGAAATACACATGTTGTTAAATCTTATGAATCTCTCTATTAGCCATATATAGAGATTGTGGCTAATGAGTACTTTTTGAAATTAGGTTGAAAAAATCAACAAATATTTGAGTGATTAAACAACTAATAGCCTAATAGCCGATGTGAAATTTGAACTCAGGAATAACTTCCATTTTAAATCATTTTAAACAATTACAGAGAATCTCATGTCTGAAGTAAAGTCTGAACTCAAATTTAATAATTATCTCGTTCAATTCCTCCACTTAATCTGAAACTTTGTTTCATGACCTGGTACAAATCTGCGTCACAGGTTCATTTCTCGTAATATTTCTTCAATCCAGATTTGAAGTTCAGGCCGAAGATACAAGCGAGTTATTTTGCCTTGTAATACAAATTGCCAGCGAACGCCGTGAACGGCGATTCAAGAGACTAGTGACTTTATTAGGATAAACTGTTGGCATCGCGGAATTGGGTGTTACTGAGATGGATGAACCGCTGGCATCGCGGAATTGGGTGTTACTGAGATGGATGAACCGCTGGCATCGTGGAATTGGGTGTTACTGAGATGGATGAACCGCTGGCATCGTGGAATTGGGTGTTACTGAGATGGATGAACC